CCCCCCCCCCCCCCCCCATTTTAGTTTTTGACCATTGATCAGTGTGATCTACCATGACGAGGTAAGAATGGGGGTGAGCAGGACCTTTGCATGAGGACAAAGACACAAGGCATGGTAAACGGGCTCGAGATGTGGCCCATCCATCAATAACTCCTGCTCCCCTATAGACAGCGGCTCCAGAAATGCCGCCACGTATCCGAGCTCCAGGTCGTCCAGCCGGACCCGGACTAACCAGGCAAAACCTGGAACAAAGGCTGGACCAACCAGACAGAACCTGGAACAAAGGCTGGACCATGTCATGTCTGTTTCAGCCAACAACATCAGATAGTTTTCCAGCCCTTTTGGGGGACCTGGGCGTGAATGGTCTAGTTGGATGTCTAGCATGAACCTGGCCATAGAACTGGCCAAAGTCGACCTAGCATAGCACCCAAAAAGCAAAGAAGAAAAAAGAAAAAAAAAGAAAAAAAAAAGCAATAATAGGCCTTCGTTCATCTAGTGCCCCAAGAGATCTGGCCCCTCAAGATAAGGTCTCTCTGAGGACCAAGGCCCGTTGGTGCGATGTCTGTGCTATGCTAGGTTGAATCTGGCCAGGCACTACAACTGAGTTCATGCTTACCAAGAGAGAACATAGCAGAAGTCAACCCCTTCTTTCCCGCCAGTCACTTCGCACAGCTGTTCTGTTTCTGCTATACTCGGTCGAATCCGGCCAGTTTTACAGCTAGATTCATGCTTCTTAAGCACGAATACTTGGTCCGTCTGCCGCTGTTCATCTGTGTGCTGCACCGAGGCCCAAATCCACCCTGCTGAAGAGATACTTGGCCTCGCTGCACGACTCGCCAAATGTGAAACGACAAAAATATGGCGGGTGCATCTTTCCAAGTTCTAGCAAGATATTCGTTCTCATTTGGCACATTTGATGACTGGTGCGGCGAGGCCCGCTGTCCGTAGGTACCCATAGCTTTCCCCAGCCTAAATTACCCGCTGCAGGGCCAGGTCAATCGGTCGTATGATATTACCCCTTCTTAACCTGAAAAGACACTACCTCTTCTTAACCTGACAAAAACGCACATCCCTTGTATACGAACACAACACACATCATATGGGGTACGCTGTATTCGCATACAACGTATGTAGTCCGTACGTTCCCTGACGAGTTTTAGTGTACATTGTACAACTTTTTTTTTTTTTAATAAGAAAAATCATTCAAAAATGGGATTTATTATATGATCACAGGCTGGTGAGGAGACTGCGGCCCGAACCCGCCTGTGGAGGTGCAAGGTAAGGTCGCTCCCCAACCCGCCCGTGGAGGTGGAAGCAGAACAAGGACACGTGCCACTGCGGCCCCTGATGTGCAGCCATCTGGATGGGCACCATCAACGCCCGTCCAGTTGCAACCACAACCACTTTCAGAGGGCGGGGGGTCTGCGAATGCAGCGATTCAAGGGAGGACAATGAGCACGCGGCGTGGAGGCACAAGGTAGTGCTGCAGCGGGATCTTCGAGAGCAGTGGTGACTGCAGCGCCTGCTGACGGTTGTGGGGATGGGGAAGACGACGAGCCTCTGGCGAACAGGCAGGGCCGAGGGAATGCACAATAGGGTATCGAAGCTGCGACAAGGTTGTGGGTTGATAACATGAGGTCCAGGAACGAGACAGAGGGAAATGGCCTCTTCAAGCACATCCAGGAAGCACGACTGTATTTGTTGGCCATCGCCACCGCGGCTGAAGACCAAAGTTATAACACACAGCCTATGACAAACCACAGGAATCGCAAAACAACTAGCTTCCTAAAACCCGAAGTATGTAACCGTAAGGTATTCTATAATTGCGTACAACTTTCCAGAAGCCCGGCTGGTCACCCAGTCGCCAAACCGGGTGTGACGTCGGGACACGGGCGCCCGGGATATCTCCCTAGGAAAATAGGGAAAAGTGGCAGTTTTCCCAAACTCCTAAGACTTCGGAGGCCGGGCCCGACAACGGCTGTCATTGATAAATCTGATCAGCGCCCGTCGTTTCGTTTCGTTTCGTTTCAGCCTCCGAAAAGGTCGGAGGCCCAGCCTAGGCCTGCTATTTTCCCACGCGACAAAGGTACAAGTGCTTTAATCGAAATTCTAAAAAAATCAGTAAACAGAATGTCCCTGCCCGGGCCTGCCGTAAAAAAATACTAGTATCCTTTCCTCGTTTTTATTTTTTTTCTTCTCGAATTTGGTTGTGAATTTCGACAAGACCCTCAGGCAAAAGTTATTTGCATTGCATTATTGTACAACGTTTTTGTTTTTTGGATTTTTAATCATTTTTCTGATTATTTGGAAAAATCAAAATTGCAAAAATTTGAATACGACATACGTACGCTGTATTCGAATACAATGTACGTACGTTATATTTGAACGTATGTTCTATCCGGAAAAAAAAACAAGCGGTTTCTGAAAACCTGATTTCCAGAGGTAATTCGAATAGAACGTACGTACGTTTTTTTTTCAGGTTAAGAAAGTAGTCTCTTAAAAGTTAAAACTTTCACTGCTTCTCAAACCACCACCAGTACCTCTCCCAGAATTTTTTTTTTGTGATGAACGTCTCCACCACGGGATTTTCGGATGAACATTGCTGCTGCGCCAAAATGGCAGGCAGCACCAGCCACAAACAAAAACGAAAACTGCGGCCGTAGCAGTTCGTTCCTTTCTGGCGTGCAGTGAAAATCCGCCATGGTAGGAGGACGCTCGCAGGTACCGGTGGTGGTTCAACCAACCAATTGACTTTTCAAGAGCCTAGACCACTGAGCCCCGAAGTTTCGGGCCTATTGGGTCCTATAGGCCCGGGGGTAGTGGTGGTTTAGCAAACCTATTGATTTTTTCCCCTGAGCCCACAGCACCGAGGCTAGAAGTTTTCGGCATATCGGGTCCAGCAGGGGGCAAAAACACGCGTACTTCGGCCACCGGAGCTCGTTTTTTATTTTGCGGACTGGAATTCCTTTTCACATTTCTCATATTTTTTTCCAAACCGATCAGCCCTCAATCTACACCCCTGATTTTTCTCAGAATTGTTTTTCGGATGAGCAAGAAAATCAACAAAATACTAAAATAGCCAGCCGAAGTAAGTGGGTGGAGTGATTTCTCTGGTTTAAAAATATGTATATACTGTATATATCGTCAAATAGAACTGCCCGGTAAACCGTAGGCAGAGAGGGAGAAGAGGACAACAAACGAGGGGCTGTGACAAACTGTTTCGTCGGAGTTTCACCGACTCATCAGGAGGCTGAATATATAAAAATGCAAACTGCCACTGCCCCCCCCCCAAACTTTGGCCAAACTGAACCAAGACCAGCACAGACCCTGATGCAACCTATTGGCCTCGCTGACGGCAGCGGTGGCTTAATTCGTACACGTGACAGTCGTGACTCCACCTTTTTTTTACGCCCTTTTTTCAGGGGCGGGTGTAATCCATGCAATTGAGACCTTGCCCTCTGGACTCATGGTGTATGTTGGAGAGGAGAAAGGAGGGTAGGGAGGGTGGGAGGTGCATTGTGGAGAAGTATTCGCCCAAAGACCATCAACCTCATCAGTATGCTTGGTAATCACAACAGTATGTCCGACCGCATGCATTTTTTATTTATTTTTATTTTTTAAAGGTTGTGTAGGTTGGAGATGGTCTAGGGGTCCTTATCACTTGGCCATCCAGAGAAGCCCCGCCAGAGGGGCTGGCGTTTCGACTCTCGAGCATTCTTTTTTTTAACAAAATGACTCAGCTCGGCATTTTCATTTTTCCAGTAATTTACTCGTTTGAGTCTTTTCAATTTTTTTTCAATTTGCCACTTTCGGTTGAGTTTTTTTCTTTTCTTTTCTTTTCTTTTTGTCAAGACTCAAGATACAAAATATTCTAATGCAAGCAGTGCAAGCTTCCATTTGATCAATTTTCAATTCTTTTTGTGATTTAGCATAATGACCGTCGCACACATTTATCCGAACCAAGACTCGTCTGCTGGCTAATGACGTTCCCTCGAAATCAAAACGAAAAGATTCACCGGTTTTCAACTTTTCACTTTCATTTTTTATTTCTTTTTTCTTCCATGCTGGAAACTGCTGCAGCTATGCAGCAAAAACACATACCTTCAGGACAATACAGGTAATATCCTTAAGACGACCCTTTCATTAAAAAAAAAAACAAAAAAAAACAAACAAACCTAGAACCGATGGCTAAAAACTTAAAAAGGAGTTAGCAGAAGTCACAGGCTCTGCAATTTGTCCGAACACCACAGAAAAAAAAAACAAAACAAAAAAAAAACGAACTAAATAAAAAACTTTATTAAAAAGCCCCCCCCAAAAAATCCAGCAAGGCAGCGCACAAGCGAAAAAACATTACATGATTACAAATTGAAGCAAAATCAAATGACTTTATCTTGTACTTCTTCCACTGAATACAGTGAATAGTGTAAAACACAGTGCTGGTCCCCGTATGGACCGGGCGCCCCTCCCCCGACCGGGAGCCTCCCGGTTGGATCGGGCGGGGTCGGTTGTCCCGGTTGGCTCCCAGTCCACCCCAGCGCATTTTGGCTGGAGTCAGAATTCAGGCAGGAAAGCGGTTTGGCTTCCTCCAGCGTCCTTACAGAGGTCGCCCCCGCTGGAAGAAGAATAGAGGGGGAGTACATGCCCTCTACAGATCAGGAAGACAAATATTCTTCTTCAACTCCCGCGGAGGAGATGATTTATAGTCGTCTGGTCTGATGGACCACAGACCACTTTATTTCTGACCAGTCCAGAATATCAGCTCGTCTCAGCCAGGAGACTAAGACCATGAACTCATTTGAAGAATTTGCCAAGCTATATATGCTTTTCTCCTGCGTCCTTGTGCGATCGAGACAGAAGTAATGGGTTCCGGTTTCTGCTCATGACATCAGAGCAGCAACGTTGTAGGACGTGCAAACCCAAGAATGGACTTCGTCCCACTACATGTATCTGGCCCGACTACCCGACGAGAGACTTTCGGACTGATGACCCATGGTACATCCAAAAAAGCAAACAAAAACTGCAGTGACTACACGAGCTGATCAACCTGAACCCATAACTTCCTTGAAGAGCATGCCGCTCTCGAAGAAGTGTATAAATGTGGCAAACTCAGCCTCATGGGTATTAATCATACTTGCAAGCGGACGCCGTCCGCGTGGTTCCGCACATGCGGCAGACCGCCGGACCGGACCCGCGCGGCGCACGAATGTGCGCCCGATGACCAGTTACCCCCCACCCCCCCAAAAAACAAAAAAAAATGGCCCCGTCCGGTCCCATCCGGGTCCGTCTGGTCCGGGGGGAGGGTGCCGCACGCGGCAAAACGGACCGGACCGGACCGGACGCTCGTCCGTTCCGTCCGCTTGCAAGTATGGTATTAATGTTACATTTGTGGTCCATCAAGTTGCCCGATGCTGAATTAAATGATTGGGCCACGGGGGTTCATCAAGTAAGCTTGTATGCTCAACCCCTTAATGTCACCTGTGTATTGAATTAGTGCAGAGTGTGGGGTAGCCCCGGCCCGTCAGAAGGGGAACTACCCAAACCCCCATCTCCGCTGGCCCCCCCAAAAAGAAATTGCGACTTCAAAGTTTGATTGCGGAATTTGACAGACCTCGGCGAGCGCAGTCAACCCAAAAACGCCAAAAAAAAAGTTTTTGGCCTTTTTTTTTGCTCATCCGGTTTCTTTGGTTCACCCCCCCTGGACCAATCCGGAACCGGTTGGACCGGGGGAGGTGAACCAGCCGGTTGCCGACCCAGCCCTGGTAAAACACTCCCACTCCCAAAAGTTGCGGAAGCGATATATATGGCGAGGTACAATCAGCAAAAAAAAAAAAAAACACAGAGGGAGATTGAAAAGCCATTTTTATTGCAGAAGAAAGAAAACAGAAAAAAAAAATCTAAAAAACTCAATTTTTGATGAAATGCCGAAAATTGACATTTAGGACAAGCATCAGTGTTCGAACTGATTCGATTGAGCGCACACAGAAAGACTGAAAAAGTTAGAAAAACCTATATTTTTTTGCAGAAGAAAAGAAAACAGGAAAAAAAACTTTAAAGAAAAAAACTCCAAATGTTGATGAAATGATGAAAATTCACATTCAGGATGAGTAGTAAGGATGATTTTTTAGAATGAAAAGTTGAAAGCCTTTGGGGGGCAGAGGAAAAGAAAACAGAAAAACTTCAAAAAAAACTTCAAAAAGGGTTGTAAAAAAGTTTTTAAAACTCAAAATTTTGATGGAATGCTCAAAATTGAAAATTCACATTTAGAAATACGGACGAGGAGTACAGAGGAGTTTAGTTCACAGGATCGCACCTTCAACAGTGCGGAATGATGCTCTGGTATCTGAAACACTCGATAAACGTCTCATTCCGAGTTCGTCATATAAACTCCCGAGGAGTCATATAACAACTCTCTCTGTCACAGCCCCTCCCTTTGTTGTCCTCTTCCCGCTCTGCCTACGGTTTACCGGCCAATTCTGTTCGACGATATATTTGTGCACAGCAGTCGACCCACTCTGTGGCAATTCAAGTCGCAACAACCGCCGCCATCATCGATCCCAATATGTTTGCAAGACGAGGCCTGTGACGCAAATCTGCGATTGCGACTGCCCTTCACGATGCATCCACCCGAAGCACTGCGTACCGCGGGACCGCCTGGCGGTGCTGCATGACTGCGCGATTCCACTGAGAATGTGCAATCAAGGGACTCGGAACGTTTCGATTCTTTCAAATCGACGAAAACGGAAACCCGATCTGCTTTTTTACAGTGTTAATAAGGTCGTATCACCGCCTTTATGAATGGCGTGTCCAGCATTGAATGATGGAAGAACGTTCGACAAACGAAAAGTGTAAGACTCATTTGCGGAATCCATCCCCGAGAAGACGCTACACACCTACTACGTTACTGTCCGATGAATCCTATTATGTGAATCCATAGCATTCAATGACGTGTTCCGGAGCCGTGAACGAACCGCCCCGGAGCCTTGTGGATAGAAGTGCCCAGCCCCGAGTCACGAAGCGCGATTGTGTAGCTGGAAGAATGTTCAGAAACGCTGAGAATCGTACCCTTACTCGTGGAGTCGAAAGAAGACGCGACAAACAGAGAGGCTGTCTCATGAACCCTACTCCCCTACCTACCCTCAGGAGATGATGTCTCACCTCATCTGCAATGTTGCGAACTACTCGTTGTGTAATGCTCAGTAGAAGTTAAGAAGAAGAACCAATCGATCAAAGTCAAACTGATTAACGCTCAACCCTGCCCCTCGCGGAGCCGATTCAAATACAAATCACAAGCGTAAGGTCATCTCAACAACCGCGATTCGCGTTTAAGTCTTGCTTTCACGCACACGAGCCATGCTAAGTTGCCAACCTCCCCCCTTTATGTCTGCATCATTCCAATGTCAAACTAATCAACGCTCAACCCTGCCCCTCACAGAGACGAATCAAATACAAAGCGCGAGCGTAAGCTCAGCTCAACAACCGCGATTCGCGTTACGTCTTGCTTTCGCGCATGCGAGCCATGCTAACCTCTCCCCCCCCCCCCCTGTGTCTGCATCATTCCAATGCTAACAATGGTCGTCCGTGAACGACTCCGCTTAACAGACCTTCAATTCAAGCATGCGTAAAAATTTCTGAAATTGGCAAGCACGATAGGATGTGAGCAGAGGAGGTGCTCGCGCCACTGAGATGGTTCCCTAGGTTCATCTGCGCTGATTGTCCTGGTACCTTCGGTGCGCCGTTAATCCTTGATGTCAGCGGGCTTAGAGCCGGGTACCTCGTTTCGGCAGTGGAACTCTCACCCACCTCCTCTCCTCCATCCCATCATTACAGACCCCTGCTAAAAACCCGGCGCTTGCTTTCACACTGGCTGCCGCCTGCTCACTGCTGCTCCTTTTTCTTCCTCTTCATCTCCCGGATTTCTTCCCCTGACGGAGGACGAGGGCCCTCCGGAGGGTAAACAATGTACTTCCTCTGTGTATTTGAGTGGAGGGAGAGACGAGAGGGCAGAACGGGAGAGAGCGGGAGAGAGCAAGAGAGAGTGGCGAGAGCAGGAGAGAGAGGGGGAGATGGAGGCAGATAGGGGAAAATACAGGGGGAAATGGAGAGCGAAGAGTTGCAAGCGAGGGCACACGGAAGGAGAGAGAGGGAGAGCGGAGGGGACAGGATGTGGTGGAGGCAGCAGCGAAAGAGTGAGAGCGAGCGAAAAAGAAGGAAACAGACCAAGCGAAAAAAGCAAGTTCCGAAACTTTAGGGGTTAGGGTAAGCAGACCTGAACACTATAGACGAGATCCAGACCCCGGGATGATATCCAGATGATCTGTGTCTCGTCCAGACCAAGATGTGCAAGAACAGAACGAACAGAAAAAAGGATTGTCTTCCCCTTCTCTCCTCCGATCAAATTTTCCTGAGATTTTCTTTTTGTTTTCACTTTGGAGATTTCGTTTGGAGTCTAGACTACCCCCCGGACAAAAAAGTTTTTCTATTTGTATTTCTATATGTTCTTCTCCCTTTTTTTTTTTTTTTTTTTGAGTTCTTAATTCTTTTTTAATTCTTCTCTGGTTTCTATTTTGAGAATCAGGACACCCAAGAGCCTAGCTCAGTGGGTACACCAGTGAACTGTTGAAATACAGACCCGAGTTCGAACCCAGATGATGGAACCTGATGAGTAAAACCAAATATTTCTGAATTGCCTGGGGCCGGTCAGCTCAATGACGATATCTCAAGACCGTCGCCCTTTTTCAAAAAATGAAAAAAATAAATAAAAAAAATCAGGAGATCGAGTACTTACGCATCTTATGGATGTAACACTTCGGAAATGGCACTGGACATCTTGGGCAAGCTCCCACTTGCAGGGATGGGAAGGCGGTAATTGAGCACAGGTGAACTGGGGATGAAAATAGGAAAATGGGATACAAAACGAAGGGTAAAAATACTTAAAATTATTAAATAAAGAAAGAAAGGAAAAAAAAGAATGGCACACTGAAGGGCCAAATGTTTAGGGGCGAGCGTAGATTCCCACCGAATGATTGGGACCGGTGACACTGGAAGGGGGACAGTCCAGATGTCCGGGGTTCAGAATCCAGACGTTTGAGCTGTCCGGATTACCTTCAGAGTATTGTTACCAACCAACCGATCTGAAGACGTCTCCCTCGGACGTCTCCCTCGGACGTCGCCCTCGGACGTCTCCCTCGGACATCCCGGAGGGGAGTTGTACAGGATCCCGGACAACTCATTTTCTGCCAATTGGACAATGCAAAAAAATAAAAAAATGGGGGGGATCTGTGCACCAAGCGGAGACCCCATAAAACAAAATTCAGCTCATTTAGAATCAAATCCGAAAAAAAAGGGGTAAAACAGGCTAACAGCCTAAAACAGGTTGGGTTGGGGTGGGTGGAGGGTCCGCTGCTGCAGATGCGGCAGGTGCAGCAAGGGCAGTAGCAGCGGCATCTGCTGTAGCAGATGCAGCAGATGCAGCAGCTGGTGCATCTGCAGCATTTGCTGCAGCTGCTGCGTGTGCAGGGGGCGTCCCTGCCGGCGAATTTTGATAAAAAAAAAGGCCCAATCTGGGCCGCTGGTCTCAACGATCTGACGGTCCAGATTGGGCCTTTTTTATTTTTGTTTAAGTTTTGAGGCCCTACCGACCTAAAATAAAAATATCTCAGACCTGGTCCGCCAACGTGAGACCTCCAGCAGACATCCAGGCCCCGAAACGACCAAAAATTACACCCCCACCCTCCCTATTTTTTTCTGGGGGGGAGACATGTTGTCTCGGGCGGACGTCTCCACAGTTGTCCGACCAGACAACGCAGAAAACTTGGGGGGTCCCGCACGTCCGCCCTGGTAAACTTTTTTTGTTATTATTTTCAGTGTTTCTTTTTTTTTGTGAAAACCTTCTGGGAAAAGCAATGTTGTGCCACATCGCAAATCGCAACCTTTGGTTGAGATTCATGTTGAAATTTGCCACCAGGGATTGTTTGCAACTTTGCATTACAACCAGTGCTGTAAACCCGGTAGGACCGGGGCCCCCTCCCCCAACCGGAGCCGGACCGGTTCTACCAGCCGGTCGACCGGGACGGTTCCCCTCTGGTTGGCCGTACCACATCATTTTTTTACTTTTTTTTTAAGCCCAGGGTGTCGTAGAGGCCAAGGACTAGACTCACGGTGATTGCTGGCAGCGGTTGGTGGTTGTCCTCAGAGGATAGGCCACCTTCCCTACCCTTCCGCACGTTAATACTCCCAGCGCACCCCCTATCCCTACTATCCTATCTCAGTGTGACCAGCACTCAGGACCATCATCCTACCAGTATCGAGGGCAACTTGGACCAGACAGCAGTGACAAGCACCAAGGGGCCGTAGCGCATCCAAAATGGGGGGTTTACCGTTTTTTTGTTGGACCAGGAGGCCTCCACGCAGGCCGTGGAGGTCTCCTGGACCAAAAAATAATCAGACTGGGTCCGGTACGCCCGCCAAAAAGGCTTGAAAAAGGCGATCTATCTGGACCACTGATCTCGAGAGATCGGCAGCCCAGATAGGCCGCCATTTTCAAAGTTTTTGGGTGGAAGTACCATCCCTACCCTGCCACTAACACCCACACCCCCCTTTTCAAAGTTTTTGGGCGGAAGGTCAACTTTTGCAGAAAGCCCGGTACGTTGTTGCCGATGCCTGCTGAAGCCCGTGCTTGCTGAAGCCTCACCCACTAACACCCCCACCATAAAAGCCCAACCCCCAACCCCTGAAATACTCCCCCCCTACCCCCAACCCCCCAAACGAAACTTCTCTATTCAAAGTTTTCTTTGCGGATCCGGGGAGATCTCGGCAAGCGCAGTCCAACCACGTTAAAAAAATAATAATAATAACAAATAATTGACCCACTTTTGGGCCCAACCGGAATTCCGGTTGTGACCACCGGGGGTCCAACCGGCCAGTTGCCGGCACAGCCCTGATTACAACTGAAATACACTTCCAGCCTGGGTTGTTTTCTCGCATGGCTGGGCATGTCACCCAGGGTACCCGGGGCGTGGGAATATTTCTTTTCAAACTTTTTTTTGTGAAAAAACTTCTGGGAAAAACAATGTTGTGCCGCATTGTAAATCGCAACCTTTGGTTGAGATTCATGTCGCAATTCGCCACCAGGGATTGTTTGCATTACAACTCAAATACACTTCCAGCCTGGGTTGTTTTCTTGCATGGCCGGGCATGGCACCCGAGGTACCCAGGGCGTGGGAATAAGTAGGGTCTTTTTTTTTTGCGGGGGGGTGGGGCGGTGGGAATTTTCCTCACGTGCCCAGAGGAGTCCAAATCTGGGGTCTTTTCTTTTTTTTTGAGTGTCGGCTGTCGAGTAAAGAGGTGTATTAATTGGTTTTGAAGGGGCTGAAGGGGCCCCAAGGGGGGTGCCTTAGTCTGATTCTGTTTTTCTCTTTTTTAATCTTCTATTCAGTGAAGGATTCTGATGCGACCCTCAGCGGAAAGTCGTTTGCGTCGCAATTCTACAGAACATTTTCTTTTCGCATAATTTTTTTTATTTTCTTTTTCGTGCTGTGCTGCTCGGAATCCTCCCAGTGGGTCACGCCCACCAGGCACCTGGGTGCGTATTTTGGTGCTCGGGCGCCCAGGAAAACAAACCTAGCTTACAATATCTGATATCAGGAGAAAGCAAATGGTGTGTGGCGCGGGTGGGGGGCGGAAAGGAGGGGGGAGGTTGGCAGTGCATGCAAGATCCTATCGCATAGCACCCCACCTCTGGCACATACTTTGAAAGACACTAAGAGTGCACTTACATTGCGAATAATCTTTTCCAAATTCTCCGGTGAAGAGGCGAAAAGCATCATCATTGCCGCAGGAATAGAGAGATAACATCCAAATTTGAAAACCTCCAAGACACGCTTACGTGGTGCAATAGACGACATTGCTGCCACCAACTGTCCTCAAGCTCTCCCACAAGCAGTTGGCACTTTGTCCTCTCCCCCCCCCCCCGAACCCCTAATCTTCACAATCTGCATACACAAAATGGCCCAAAATGGAAACAAAAGGGTACAGAAATACACATACACAAGTTAACATCATACTCATGATATACATAATCACCCTTTCAATTGTTTTCAGAAGTCTTGCCCTTCATTCGACCATCTCAAACCACAACACCTACCTCTACACCTCGACCCAAACACCCCCAATCGCCCACCCACCTTCGACCGATGGGAGAGAACGGGAAGGCGAAGGGTACGAAGATCAACACCCCCAAACATGTCGTCTTTCAAAACAAAGATCACCAGACACGAACAGGTGCTGAAGGGCAACAACAGGGCGGGGGGTGGAGCAAAACACCCCACTCTCGGCTGCAGACCCGCAGGCCCTGCAAACCTATTTTGCCGAACGCTCTTCTCTCACAACCGTGACTTGCTGCACCTTGGGCCGCAGTGGGAGACCCCCAAGACTTATCTTGTCGAACCTCTCTTTCTCCTAACCCTGAGTTGCTGAACCATCTTGGACCTCAGCGGTGAGCCCTCATGTTTTCCAGACGCCTTCCCGGCATCCCCCCTGGATTGCACCAATGTAAAAGGGCGCTGACAACCAGGTTCAGGGTGAGCAGCCTGAAGGAGGCTTCGGGACACCTAAACCCTAAGACGTAGATGCAAGAAAAAACTGCAGAAGCCGCTGACCATTGATACCTTCTCGATGCCTTCAGGACAACTTTCTCATTTTTTCCTGATGCTTTCCGGAAACCCTCATGATTACCGACGCCTTACCATGCCCTTCGTCATACTTCACTGACGCCTTCCCAACACCCTTCCCCATCTTCTCCTCCTGACGCTTTCCCTACACCCCTCCTGGTCAGCGCCAGTGTAGAACGGAGCTGACAGTTGGCCTAAATTGGTCTTATAGCTGCCTGGAGGAGGCTTGGGGTAGCTGCAGCACCCTCAGATTACAGATTTCTCTGGCAAGGTCGCATCTCGAAGTGAAATGCTCACATATTTTGCTCCCGGGTGCGCACCACTGATGCGCTTTTTCTTTTTTTTACTGTCTTCTGAAGCGCAACGGCCTCGAGACATCATCATTGAACTGACTGGCCCAAGGTAACTCAGACTTGTAGTATTTTACTAATCTGCTTCCAGTGGAGTTCGGACTCAAGTCTGTATTTCAACAGTTCAGGAGTGTACCAACTGACTGCGCCAACTTTGGCAATTTTTGGCGCTCAGAATTGTTTCTTGGTCCCTTGGCAAAAAATTCTTAAAACTTCACGGCCATAGATTGAGTGCTGAAGTTTGTGGCAAAAAGTGTGCCAGGCCAGGATCTGAAATGGCCAACTCCCAACAAACACCGTGCTGAGATGATGTATCTAAGGCACGCTGGACCTGGTTTCCAGCAGGTGACGCTCCCCAGCAATGGATGGAGCAGCCCGACAGGGAAAGCCTCAATCCCGGTGGTTCTCGTACCGCCACCAGGATAGAGCCCTTGCACAAGGGCTTTTCCAAAAAAAAAAAAAACACGGATGGCAAAAACGTTGTGGGGGGAACATTCATATATTTTTGCTCGCTGCTGCTGCCAGCAGGCTCAAGGTTTTTTGCTCCTCCTGCTACCACTGGTTTGGTAAATTTGTGAAAAAGCGGACCGGCGGTTTAAGAGCTATGTTACTGGGTCACTCGTCTGGGCATGCAGCCAGGTCAGGACAGGCCAGACCCTGTCGTCCCAGGTATCCGGAGGACCAAACAGAAGAAAGAAAAGAAAAGAAAAAAAACGTCGGTTGTATTGGAATGGAGTCACCGACGGGGCAAAGACTCAATCGAGAAGGTGCTCTTACAACCTTCATGATGAAAAAACGGAAGGGGGGGGGGGGGGGGGGGGCGTTGTTTGTATCGCAATCCTAGACAACATAGCATTCCTTTTCATTTTATGCTGGGCTGCCTGAGACCTCGCCTGGACCTGTCCCGGCAGTGGCCACACAGGTAGCCAGAGGCAGCTCAAAGTGACCTGGTCGCCCCCCCAGCAAACCTAGGTCAAGAGTTCAAATCCGGGTGATACCACAAGTGGACCGGTGAGGATAGAGGCGAGGAACAAACATAAGCAGTCACAATCGACAAGACGACAGAGACTGAAGCCGAAGTCCGAATCAAGCATAGCTTATAGAGAAAGCTCAACCCAGGAGAACCGTGGGAGAAAGCTCTTGAGAATCTGCTCTAGAGAAAGCTAAACCCAGGACANATGCTGGGCTGCCTGAGACCTCGCCTGGACCTGTCCCGGCAGTGGCCACACAGGTAGCCAGAGGCAGCTCAAAGTGACCTGGTCGCCCCCCCAGCAAACCTAGGTCAAGAGTTCAAATCCGGGTGATACCACAAGTGGACCGGTGAGGATAGAGGCGAGGAACAAACATAAGCAGTCACAATCGACAAGACGACAGAGACTGAAGCCGAAGTCCGAATCAAGCATAGCTTATAGAGAAAGCTCAACCCAGGAGAACCGTGGGAGAAAGCTCTTGAGAATCTGCTCTAGAGAAAGCTAAACCCAGGACAACCGCGGGAGAAAACTCTTGAGAATCTGCTCTAGAGAAAGCTCAACCCAGGAGAATCAAACGAATCAAGCATAGCTTATAGAGAAAGCTCAACCCAGGAGAGACTGAAGCCTCGAAACTTATGCCGGCAATCCCCACACCTTTTCCGGGGCAACCCCCGGAGCCATGTCGTGACTGAAGAGGACGAGCTAATGACACAAATGCCTATTAAATTATTAAATTAAAGTATTACTCCTACAATCAAGTGCCCGCGATTAAGTCCGCAATAAACTTCCACATGTCGTCCCTGGACCGCGAAAAAAGTGCCCGCAGTAAACTTCCACATGTCGTCCCTGGACCGGTGAGAATAACCTTGACATACATACTAAATAGCGGATAACTTGTTTCGTAATGGCAAACTGCCAGCATCTTTGCCTGAGTTTCTGATGGTTAAGAGTTCAAATCCTGGTGATTCCACAAGTCAACAGGTGAGGATAACCTTTTGATAAAGACAGCCATAACTCTGTTTCACAGCCTGAAATAGCCATGATCTTTGCCTTCCATCCTTTCTCATCATCTTAAACCACTAGTACACGGCCCCAGCCTTGCAGTCGGAAACTTGTCTCCACAAGAAAACGAGGCCGAATTGTCAAACGCTGTGCCCGCCGTTGATAAATTCGATCGGCGGTCGCGTTTCCATTTTGCGCCTCCAGAATTTGAGGTGTCAGGCCCGCGGTCCAGGTGCCCATGTACTGGTGCTTTAAGGAACCCTCTCTTCCTGAGTTTCTGAGGTTTAAATCCTGGTGATTCCACAAGTGAACAGGTGAGGATAACCTTGACATAGACACCCATAACTTGTTTCATGGTCCGAAATTGACATGATTCTTTGCCTTCCACCTGTTCTTGTCATCTCAAGGCACCGTCTCTTCCTATATACAATGTGAGTTTAGTGCAAGCTGCTGAAGAAGACAAGGAAGCATTGGAAGCATTACGGCACTAACACTGACATCTAAAGCCATGGGATGTCCCACCCATGAGATCGCAGAGGAGGCACTCAACGCCAAGCTGTCATTGTCATCGTGGCTTTGCTTTCAGTGCACGTGTTGTAAGTGCTCGATGTTACAGGAGACAAACTGTCCTGTGTAGCGTTAGCGCTGCTACCATGCGGTGGACTTGGACGGCCAGCGTGGGAGAGGAAGACTGGCTGCAGGTATCAACAAAACGACACTCCACCTAAAGGACCAATAGAAATAGAGAAAGAAAAGAGCATACATGCAGAGAAAATTGTGGCTGTTTCATCTGCGGAAACACGGTTCCATTCGTTTGATGCAGAAACGGCACGGTTTCAAAACATCAGACAGTTTGCACCGGGAGATAGAACATGCACAAGTGATGCTGCACACACAAAGCAATGCATCAAATATTCAGAGAGATTTCGCACTTCCCGTTCAACGTATCAGAAAGTTCTCCAGATATAGAGTGCACGAGTAATGCCACGCACACGAAGCAATGGACGAAAGTATGCAGAAAGAGTTTGCATTTTGCCTTACCATGGAGACCATGGAGCGTGCTCTCTCTCTCTCTCTCTCTCTCTCTCTCTCTCTCTCTCTCTCTCTCTCTCTCTCTCTCTC